ATACGCACGCGCACGCGCGTAACGCTTTGTTACATGCGACTAAACCAGGAAGCGTCGCTCTCTCTCTCTCTCTCTCTCTCTCTCTCTCTCTCTCTCTCTCTCTCTCTCTCTCTCTCTCTCTCTCTGCGTCATTAGTAATCTAAATAGGTTAAAGTGCGATCTTCTTGACGTCGATCCTTTGAAAGAGGATATTATTCATTTTTCATTTTTCTCCCTATTTTTTTTTCCTTTTTCCATCAGCGTAATATATCCAACAACGACATGATAATATATAATTAAATAATCCACAGTTATTACTAGTTGATGATAATCTTTTATATACATTTGATGCATTTCAAGTTAATAATTACAAAAAGATTTTTTCATTTTCTTTTTTTCTTTCACTCTTTTTACTATCACTTTTCTTCGAAGAAAAACGAAATAATCGATTTTTCTGATAATGGCATAGATCAAATGTAATATCCTTCATTCGAGTTTTACTATTAGGACAAAAAAAAAAGGAGAAGAAAGAAAGAAAGAAAGAAAGAAAGAAAGAAAGAAAGAAAAAATAATCGGTAGAAACGTCATTAAGATAATAACGAAGGAAGGGTTGAGTTTTGGGACCATTATAAATTGGAGTGCTGTTAGGTATCGTCGAATATTAGGAATGGGAAAAGACGAGAATATCTCTTTCGCAATTGCTTAATCATAGAATTTCATCTGTTCGTGAACTGTCTCTCGGGTGAAACGTCGCACGTTGCAACGAGAAAGACGAAGACGAGTACTACAAGACGGAGGAGGAAGAAGTAGTGGTAGTGTTGGAGGAGTAGAAAGAAGAGGAGAGGGTGAGGGAGGAAAATTGAAAAGGGAGAAAACGACAAGGAGAAGTAGGGCCGAAGAAAGCTGCTAGCTTGCGAGCTTGCGAGTTGCTCCTGTTAGTGTTACAAGAGCGGGTGAGAGAGAGTGAGAGAGAGAGAGAGAGAGAGAGAGAGAAAGAGAAATAAAAAGAGAGAGAGAGAGAGAGAGAGAGAGAGACAGAGGCCGAATAGAACGAAAGCCCCGGCTGGTAGCTTCAAACGAAAACTCTGGCGCGTCCAACGAGTTTGTATCGAGCGTAGGAGGTAAAAGCGCGACGCTGCGGAAGGTTGAAAAGAGATAGAAAGAGAGAGAGAGAGAGAGAGAGAGAGAGAAAAAGAGAGAGAGAGAGAAAAAAGAGAGAGAGAGAGAGAGAAGGCGTTCCTCTCTCGCGTAGCACCACGATGCCGCGCTCTGCAGAAACGAAGTTGGGAGAGAGAAGAGGAGGGAAACGAGCAACGAGGATGAGGCAGAGAGTACTGGAGGAAGAGGATGGGAAGAAGGAGGGGAGGTGAAAGAGGGGAGGAGGAGGACGGGAAACTGCCGCAGACCGAGGCCATGGTAGGCGAGGTGAGGTGGCAATCAATAAATATACAGAACCGGCGGAGAGCGAGGTAGAGAGAAAGAGAAAGCGAGAAAGCAAGCGAGCGAGCGAGTGAGCGAATGAGTGAGTGAGCTAGCGAACGAGTGAGAGAGAGAGAGAGAGAGTCCGTCCGACCACCACCGGTCCGTCCGTTCGTTCTTGCGTCCCCAAAGCCTCGCTCTCTCCCACGGACCTGACCCAAGTGCGAGCGACGAAGAGAGAAAGAACGATAACGCCCTAGAGAGAGAGAGAGAGAGAGAGAGAGAGAGAGAGAGAGAGAGAGAGAGAGAGAGAGAGAGAGAGAGAAAAAGAGAAGGATAGAAATAGACGAAGAGAGGAGGAGGGTGGAAGGATCAGAAGAGGCTCTGCTCTGCTTTGCTCCGCTCTGCCCTGTCAGAGAGAGAGAGAAAGAGAAAGAGAGAAAGAGATAGATGGAGAGAGAGAGAGAGAGAGAACGCGCGAGCATAGGGTGGTGGTGGTAGAGAGGAAGAAGGTTGACGAGAAGAAGGAGGGGAAGTGAAAAGGGGAGGGCAGGTCGGAGGTGAAGCAACGAAATAAACGAAATCCCATCGCGCACGATGGAACAGCATCCGAGAGACCTGTGCCAACCGGGACGCGAGGAAAAGAGAGAATAAGCAAGAAAGAAAGAGAGAGAGATAAATAGAGAGAGAGAGAGAGAGAGAGAGAGAGAGAGAGAGAGAGAAAGAGAGAGAGAAAGAGATACTGGCCCGATGCCGGCTCGAGTAGCGTTGGGAATCAATCGTTCTCGAAGCGTTCCTCTCGAATGAGATGGCAATAGGAGAAGTGCTGAGAGAGAAAACGAGAGAGAACAAGAGAAAGAGAGAGAGTGAGAGAGAGGGAAAGAGAGAGAGAGAGAGAGAGAGAGAGAAGAGAACCTATAGACCTTTAGAGAAATGTCTTTACGAATATATCTATATACGTATACATATCTCGTAGGATCGCCAAGACTTTTGGAACACGAATCCTTCCGAAAACGTTCGAGATTTCTCAGGTCTGCGTTCCGTTCAAACGAAACTTCGCTCGAAATGGAGTTTCCGCCTATCCGCATTGCACGTCGGTCGGGGTCGAGGGTCGGGGTTGGTGGAGTCGTTCGGTCGGTTGTTTGGTTGGTTGGTTGGTTGGTCGATCGGTCGCCTGCTCGCTCGCTTGGTTGGTTAGTTGGTTGGTTGGTTGGTTGGTTGGTTGGTTGATCGTCATCGTCATCGTCATCGTCATCGTCGTCGTAGTCGTCGTAGTTCGCATAACGATGAATGAAATACCAAACTAAAATGTTCTGCTTATACCGACGGATGGACGAATTATTATATCTTTTCTATCTTTTATTATATGAGAGAGAGAGAGAGAGAGAGAGAGAGAGGGTGGGAGAGAAAGAGAGGGAGAGATTAGACAACAAAACCAATAGATTACGCGATACTATGAATAGTATTCGAATATTATAGATAACAATGTACGTAAGTACTCGCGATATGAGTCAATACTGTTATTATTATTACTATTATTTTGTTACTTTTATTATTCTCTTTATCTTTTCCATTTCTTATCATCGATCCCATCGAGCATCTATGTGATATCGAAAGAGACTATTTTTAATAGGGGAGCTAGGAAAACGAGAAAGAGAAGGAGGATTATTCGAAGAATTCTGAAAGTCGATGGATAATAAAATAAGTGATATGTATATATGTATGTATATATATGCATGTATATATGTATGTATGTACTATACGTAGGTAGGGTATATGTATATAATACTTTTGCGATGAGAAAGTGATAGATCGAAGTGTAGAGTCGGGAGAAAAAAGCGTGAAACGCGTTGGTGTGTTTCGAGCTTATAGAGATAGAGATAGAGGGAGATAGATAAATATATAGATATAGATAGATAGATATAGATAGATAGATAGATAGATAGATAGAGCAGCTCGTCAGCCACAGCGTCGAGTATCAGACAAAAAATAAAGAATGAGAGAGAGAGAGGGAGAGAGAGAGAGAGAGAGAGAGAGAGAGAGAGAGAGAGAGAGAGAGAGAGAGAGAGAGAGAGAGAGGGACGTAGGTAGACGGAGAAAAAGAGAAAATAGAGAAGAGGATGATTAATGAAGCGTGCGGCTTTATCGGCGACTAAAAGAGATCGTAACGACGATAAAGCTTGACCCACACTTCACCGCGCTAGGCGTATAGGGCTATGTGGAATTATTAATTATCCACCCCCGTTGATTCGCATCAATTTGTCACATTCGTCCTGTTCAAACTCGGCGGGGCAAGAACTATAAGAAGAAGTCGTTTTCGCACAAAAGAATTCGCCCTATGTGTGTACGGCGGATTTTGCTCGAACGATTTCTTTTCTTTTTCTCTTTCTTCTTTATCTTTTTTTCTTCTTCTACTTTCTTTTCACCCCGAGAAAACGAAAGGAAAAGAAAGGAAGAAAAACAAGGAAGAAGGAAAGAAAGAAAGAAAGAAAGAAAGGTAAAAATAAAAAGAGAGGAAGTAAATAAAAAGGAAGGACTCGATGAATTTAATTTTTTCTATGATAAAAAAGAGAGAGAGAGAGAGAGAGAGAGAGAGAGAGAGAGAGAGAGAGAGAGAGAAGAAAGAACACAGAGACAGATAGAAAACAAAATTGGGAATATATACATATATATATTTATAAATACATATATATATATATATATATATATATATATATATATATATATACATATATATATATATATTCACATAGAAGAGACTCGAGTATCGTTGAGCGTACAATTTAAATATTGCAAGTACGGTCTCAATGGAATTTGCATTGATTTGCGAGAGGACACGAGAAGGTTTTCCAATTTTATCGGATCGATTAATTAAGCGTAGCATTCGAAGGGGCTGGAGGGAGGCTGGAGGAGAGAGAGTGGGGAGGTGGATTTGGGAAATGGTGGTTGGGGAGTGGGGTAAACGAGAGGAGTAGGAGAAATCGCGCGCCAGTCTCGATTTGCTAGCGACGGATCAATCCCTTTTCGGCGATCGTCGAAGGATATCGATCTTTGCAATTCATCGAATATATACATATTATGCGAAAGGAGACGGCGATGATGGCCGTCGTTTGGTCAATCCTGCGGCCAAGCTACCAGCTAGTTCGATAGTCGAGCCGTTCTAGTTTCGATCAGAACCTTCATTATGCGAGCGTTTATTAAACCGCTAATTACAGATATACCGATCAGGTGACCGATGATAGTTGTCAAATACGCAAACGATCACACATACCTATATACATATATACATACATTCATATATACATATATATATATATATATTTATGTATATAAGTATCTATGTGAAGTAAATAATAAAAGGATTGAGAAATAATTCATTATTTCCGTTTGTTAATACTTTTAATCAATCTGAATCATGTTGTAGATCGTGTGAATTTTTTTTACTTCTCTCTTCATGTTTTTTCTTATAATTGAAAAAAAAAAAAAAAAAAAAAAGAAAAAAAGAAAAAAGGAAGAAAAAAAGGAGAAGGAGCAATCGACTCCTCGGCACAAATCGAATCCACGTTGTGCGTTTGAACGTAAGAAAGATAAAACGGACTTACCACCAAAAAGTGCAGTGGGATCGAGCAGCGGATTGGCCTGGTCCGCCTGGAGCTTCTCGGAGGTGGAGGTGGAGCCCGGCGTTGCTGTTGCCGCCGCTTCACCTCCGCCACCTCCGCCTGATGCGGAGTTCTCCTTCTCCATGCCAGTCCCCTGTAAAATCGACGTTCTTTTCTTAGCAAATACTTATTTCATACATCCCTTCTCCTCCATTTTATTCTACCATTACGTTAACTTAATGTCTTATTTCGTCACTTGACAAATTTCATTTGGCGACGAGAGGGGTGGGGGCGGGGGAAAAGAAATCAGAGAAATTTATCGGAGAGAGAGAGAGAGAGAGAGAGAGAGAGAGAGAGAGAGAGAGAGAGAGAGAGAGAGAGAGAGAAAGAGAAATATATTAATAAATATTCCACGTCATTCTTTCTTTTTACTTTTACTTTTTTAATTTCTTTTTTTACTTTTTTACTATTATTTTATTTTATTTTATTTTATTTTATTTTTTTATTTTTTTTTTTTATTTAATCAAGTATCGATATTAAAAGCGAACTCGTTTTGCTAGTAGCTCAACCACGAAGCTCGGATGGTACGCATTTCAATGAATTTATTCAAAGTCAAGGCGATCAACTAACTCGCGAGATATCGTTTCGAGGTTCTACAAATCGACTCGATATCTCGTAGTATTAAATGAATAATTTATCAACGTAACACACACGGTCAATGTACCCGTAACCAACCGAGAACGGCTTCTAACATTCTTGTATATACTTACATTTATGTAAATTACTATATATATATATATATATATATATCCGACAGATAACGGCATTAAACCACGTGCAAATACTACGAGTTCTACCGCCAATTCGTTTGATTGATAATTTCGTATTTACGTAAGGGAATGATAAAAACGATTGGAAAGTATTGGAAAGTATTACGAAAACACACATATGTATATACAT